AGGAGTTAACGCTTGCCCTTCGACTTCCCTTTCTTCTTAGCGTTGTCCTTGGTGGCCGTTGTCTTCAGCTGCGGCTTCTGACGGCGGACGGGGACAGGGGGGTGCGAAGAGCTGCCCGCGCGAGCTTCCTCCACCGCTGCTGCCGCGTGGGCATCGCGGAGTTCGGAACTCTACGCACGGGCTTCTCTTAAGTGTTCCTCCAACAAGTTCATACGGGCGTCCAGAAACGCGTGGCTCGCCGTTCTCTTGGCGCGCATCTCCTGCATCGTAGGTGCAGGACCAGGTGCGGGTGGCGAACGGCTACCCCCGTGGGCCTGCGCGACAACCACGTCATCTGCCCGGTCGGCGGTGGCTTCGGGGATTTCGTCAAGAGCCTGGCGACGCTCACGTCTCGTCGCGCTCTTGGTGTTGCTGAGGCGCTCATCGGGCTTGTCTGGGTGCATCGTGTGCGTGCTGGAACGGGGGCGACTCGCCAGCGGATATCCACGTACCCTTGGGATGCTCTTGCTGCGGCTGCGACTGCGCGCCCTGCTCTGGATGCGTCTCCGGGGCATGCTGGTGGTTCGGCGCCTCCGAGGAGGGGAGCTCCTGGCACCAGCAGGTGCAGAGGTACGGGATGCGCAAGCTGCTTTCGAACGCCCAGTCCTAGAACGCCACTCCCAGAAGTTCCAAGGGTTAGGATCCGCCTTCCATAGGTCTAGTTCATGAGCAAACACGTCATCGATGTCGGGCTTCACCTCCTGGGGCCGTGGACGATCCTCGGAGCGGCTGCGAAGAGGGGGGTCACGGCGTGCACGACGGAGTAGCGAGCTCTCTCTGTTCTCACCCCCCCTTCTTCCCCTTCGGGGCGGGGTTTACCCCTCCCCCTACCCCCTCCCCCTGGACCTGGAGAGGTCCTTTCGCGGGTGGTTGGAAGGGGTCTTTTTCGACTCCTGGGAGGGCTAAAAAACGACACCCCTCACGAGGATTCTGGCCCCGACGGGGGGACTGACAAAAATGCTCGCCCCATCTGTGATCGATCGCCCGAAAGATGGCCCTCAGATGCCTCCCAGACCCCTCCCAAAGAGCCCCAAGAGGCCCCAAGAGGCCTCCAAGGGGCCCCCCAAGAGGCCCCCAAGAGGCCCCCAGAGGCTCCCCCGAGGCACCCAAGGCGCTCCTGGAAGCCCCTGGAGCCGCCAAGAGGCCCCCCAAGACGCCCCAAACGGCCTCCAAGAGGCTCCCAAGAGGCCCGAAGAGGCTCCCCCAAGGCACCCAAGGAGCCCGAACGACTCACACCAGGACGAGGGCCCCGAACGACTCACACCACGAAGAGCCCGAACGACTCACACCAGGAGGAGGGGCCCGAACGACTCACACCAGGACGAGGCGCCCGAACGACTCACACCACGAGGAGCCCGAACGACTCACACCAGGACGAGGGCCCCGAACGACTCACACCACGAGGAGCCCGAACGAGTCACACCAGGAGGAGGGGCCCGAACGACTCACACCAGGACGAGGGGCCCGAACAACTCACACCACGAGAAGGGCAAGCGGACACACGCCTAAAAACCACGACTGTCGGCATGCTTCGCAAGAGTTGCTGTTTTGAGATGGGCTGGTGGGGATACGCGAAGCGTGAAGAATTTCTTGACATGCGTGGCCGCCCGCCCCTCGGCGCGAAAGAAATAAGTTACGTCGCCTGTTTGCTGCGTCACGCGCGGGGCGGACTTCATTAGCATTGTGCCCGCAGAGCATCCTGCGTACGTCTGTGATGCTGGCATCGAGGTCACAGATTGGAGACCAAAGCTGCCGCGATCACTTCGGCGCCCGCTGTGCGTGGATCCGTCGGGACACGTACTCTACAAGCAAATGTCTTTCTCAGTTCGTCATCATCTGCTCTTGCCGCCGCTCTCGCATCCGCCCCGTGCTGTTTTTGCCTTGCCCTGGCTCGCGTTCCTTATTGTCATCCTTCTGCGTTGCGTGCGTGCGCCCTTGCTGCCATTCGACCCGTCGGCCCCCTGCATATATGCGCTGCGGGCGGCGCCCGGCCGACAAAAAAACGATTGCCCGACCGCCGATTGGGACAAGCAAGAGGAAGAGTTCGCGAACTTCTCATGGAGGTGAGAGTGCACCGCGCTGATTTGTCCTGGTCCTTTTCCGAAGGGCCAGCGTGCTCAAGCACGCCTGTCGCCCATCTTTGGGTCGCCCTCTGCGGCGGTGACAGTTCGTCCGTTCGTTCAAGGCCCCAGTGGCGACGCCGCTGAATTGGTGCGAGTATGCTCGTGACGCGCCGGCATGGCGGAGATGGGAAGCTAAATTCTTCACGCTTCGCGTATCCCCACCAGCCCATCTCAAAACAGCAACTCTTGCGAAGCATGCCGACAGTCGTGTTTTTCAGGCGTGTTTCCGCCTGCCCCCGCATATCTCCCCTGTTCCTCCTTCCTCCCGCCTCCTTGTACATCCTCCTTGTGGTGGGAGCGGGAGAAGGACGAGGCGGAGGAGGAGGGAGAGAAAGCGCTCCTCGTGGTTTGAGTCGTTTGGGGTTTCTCGTCCTGGTGTGAGTCGTTCGGGCCCTTCTTCCTGGTGTGAGTCGTTCGGGCTCTTCGTGGTGTGAGTCGTTCGGGCTCTTCGTCCTGGTGTGAGTCGTTCGGGCTTCTCGTGGTGTGAGTTGTTCGGGCCCCTCGTCCTGGTGTGAGTCGTTCGGGCCCCTCCTCCTGGTGTGACTCGTTCGGGCTCCTCGTGGTGTGAGTCGTTCGGGGCCCTCGTCGTGGTGTGAGTCGTTCGGGCTCCTCGTGGTGTGAGTCGTTCGGGCGCCTCGTCCTGGTGTGAGTCGTTCGGGCCCCTTCTTCTGGTGTGAGTCGGTCGGGCTCTTCGTGGTGTGATTCGTTCGGGCCCCTCGTCCTGGTGTGAGTCGTTCGGGTTCCTCGTGGCGTGAGGCGTTCGGGCACCTCGTCCTGGTGCAAGTCGTTCGGGCCCCTCGTAGTAGGAGGCCGTTTGGGGCGTCTTGGGGGCCTCTTGGCGGCCCCAGGGGCTTCCAGGAGCGTCTTGGGTGCCTCGGGGGAGCCTCTCGGGGCCTCTTGGGGGCCTCTTGGGGGCATCTTGGGGGCCTCTTGGAGGCCTCTTGGGGCCTCTTGGGGCTCTTTGGGAGGGGTCTGGGAGGTATCTTGGGGCCATCTTTCGGACGATCGATCACAGATGGGGCGAGCATTTTTGTCAGTCCCCCCGTCGGGGCCAGAATCCTCGTGAGTGGTGTCGTTTTTTAGCCCTCCCAGGAGTCGAAAAAGACCCCCCCAACCACCCGCGAAAGGACCTCTCCAGGTCCAGGGGGAGGGGGTAGGGGGAGGGGTAAACCCCTCCCCGAAGGGGAAGAAGGGGGGTTGAGAACAGAGAGGGCTCGCTAAACCACTCACGCCCAAAGGGCTGGTGGGATTTTGCAGGATGCAGTAGAGAAGCGCACGGTGCTTTTCCATCCCTCCCCGTAGTCTCGCCTGATGCGGTGGTCCGTCCGTCCGTCAGTGGCGACGCTTGCATGCGCCCGCGCCACCCAGTACGGCGCGTCCCTCACACGTATTGTGCCCCAATTGGGAGCTCCACCTAAGGCCCCAGTGGCGACGCTTGCACGCGCCAGTGCCACCCATTACGGCTCATTTTTGTCCATGGTTCGTGGCCCCATGGGGAGTGACGTTTGCATGTTGCCTTTGTGGCGATGTTTACATGCGCCCCCCCCACCGATTACCGCGCAGCCTTCACGCGGTTTGTGGCTTCGTGGGCAGATCCACCAAAGGCCCAAGTGACACCCACCGGATTGTGGCCCCGCATAAGGGCCCGCCGAAGATATCCACAATTGCGAATTTCTGTGTTCACAATTGCACATGATCACATGATTTGGTTCTGCGCCAGAAGCAGGTTGTTTGAAAGGGGTGGTGGCCGTGCGCATTGCAGGTCTTTGTCAAACCAAACAGTATCCTGTCGAAGGACCCGGTCAGCGTTGTGGGTACCGCTTTCGGTAGAGCCGAGCTCACTATGGGGCCACCAAGCGCGTGATGGGATGTCTTGGAATGGGTGGGGGAGACGCATGCGGCTGCGGCCACAGGTTTTCGGTCGAGCTCCTTCTGGGGCCACGAAGCGCTGCACTGGGCGGGGAGGCGCATGTGGCCGCGGCCTTCGGTAGAGCTCCCTGTGGGGCCACGCAGCGCTTTAGTGGGTGGGGGAGACGCATGCGGCCGCGGCCATTGGAGTCTTCGGTGGAGCTCCCTGTGGGGGCCACGAAGCGATATCCCGGGTGGCGTGGGCGTATGCGCACGCGGCCACTGGGTCTTTCGGTGGAGTTCCGTGCGGGGCCACGAAGCGCTGTACTCGGTGGCGCGGACGCTTGCGCACGCGGCCATTGGGGCTTCTCCTTGTGGGGCCACGAAGCGCTGTACTAGGTGGCGTGGGCGCATGCGAACGTGGCCTCTGGGGCCTTCGGTGGGGCTTCCTATGAGGCCACGAAGCGCGTGATGGGTGTGCCGATTTATTTGACGCGCAGAGGGCAAAGGCAGGGGTGGGAGGAGGGAGGAGGGAGAGGAGGGCGGGAGGAGACGTGCGACGCGGGGCGCTGTCTTTCAAAATGAGGGCCACACCACAAGACGGTCGGGAAGCAAAGTGCTGGCGGCCCCCCCGAGCATGACCCACGATTTTTCCCCAAAGCGCATTCGACATTATTTTTGGGCTGCCGGTCGCCTGCGGGAGGGGTTGTTTGTTATGGGGGAAGATTGATGAACCCCTTCCCCGAGGGGGAAAGGGGGTTGGAAGAGGAAGCCCGCTAAACCACTGATGCCCTAAAACGCTGTGGGATTTGCGCGGTACACCGCAAGCTTCTGTCCATTTGACCGCAAGCGTGCGGCTTGTTCGTTCGTTCGACAGGTTGGGGTTGTTAGCAGTGCTTTTTGCTGTTCTTTTGTGTGGCCCGTGAGGCCCCCTTCTGCGGACAGGAAGGTTGCCGCGCACCCCCCCCCCGACGCGCCGCCCGGCCCCAGGTGCCGGCGGGGGGCCCGCGGGCGCGGGGCAGAACCCCGCCGTGCTCGCCAGCTTGGACCAGGTGCAGGGCGGGACGTTACGTGTGTTGTGCATGAGAGTACTTTTGCACGTGAGTTGTTGGCTTCCTTGGCTGTTAGCGCACGTCACTGCTCATTCGTGGTCGCCAGCGGGCGCTAATAGCCATTTGCGAGTAGTTACTTTGCGAGTAGTGGAGCGCGCTCGTCTCATGATGGCCTGTCTCGCGGGTGGGGGCCAGGTCCGGCCGGCAGGTGGGGGGGTTCAGCGCCAACGGGGCTCGGGCAGAGCGCTGGAGCCTGCAGGATCCTGCAGAGCCGGAGTTTGGCTGAGCGGCCCTGGAGGAAACCAGAGAGGAGGAAGAGGAGGAGGAGGCGGAGGAGGGGGGGGAGGAGGAGGCGGAGGAGGGGGAGGAGGAGGAGGAGGAGGAGGAGGAGGAGGAGGAGGAGGAGGAGGAGGAGGAGGAGGGAGGAGGAGGAAGCGATGGGTTTGCTCTGAGCCGGGCTAGTCATGCACGCCTCGCGGTCTAGACTTCTAGGCCGCGATGCCATGGACACGTGGCGGCGTTGCGAGGAGCTCCCCGCGCAGGACGCGCGCGTAGGATCTCGTGTCCTCGGGATCGCGCCTCGGTGTCCAGACCGCGAGGGCATGGCCTTTGCTCGTGGCTTCACGGTTTTAGGCGTGTCCGTTTGACTTCGGCCCATCATGACACCGTGCTTGGACTGTGAACCAGAGTGGAGAGCCTCCCGAGTAGTCGGGAGCCTCTGGGGGGGCCTCTTTGAGCATGCTGCGGGCCTGTTGGGGGTCTTGGGAGCTCGTGCCGCCCCTCGAGCTTCCCCTGTTGGCCCCTCTCTGAGCGTATTGGAGGCCTCCGGGGTCGTTCTGTGGAGCCTCGGAGGCGGTCTTGGTGAGGTCTGGCCCCCTGGGGCCGCCTGGGGCGCTCTTGAGACCAAAACGGCAAGAAAGTGTAGATCATGCGATTTGGTGGCGCTCGGGTTGCGGGACCCAATGGGTCAGGGAGATGGCCCGGACGACCTCTGAGAGAAGCCTCAGCGGCCATTTTGGCGCACGCTGGAAGTGCTGAAGCTCCCAACCGCAGATGTCGCACTGGTACACCCCAGGGAGCGCGCGGGGAGGCCAGTGCGGCGAGGTGGCCACACCGCATGGTGAATCAGTGTGGATTTGGGGTGGCCGCGCAGTTTTGGGACTTCACCGCTACCTTTTCCTCGTCGCCACGGCAGGATTCGCCCCGAACTTCCTGCCGCTTCGCGCATCACCGCCAGCTTTGTTACGACCACGGCGGGAGCGTCCTCGCGCCATTTTGGCGGCGTCTTAATTCTCGGTGGTCGACAGACTCCCTGGGTTTGCCACTTGCACGTTCCCGGCGGTCCTTGCAGACTCCCTGGATTGCACGCTCGCCTGGCTTTTCAGACGCCCTGGGCGCAGCCCCCTCCCCGCCGCCTGATCCGCGGCCCCCGCGCGCGCTCGGGAATTTAGTCGCGGCCGCAGCCCGACCGTGACCGCCCGCCGTCGGCGCTTTCGCCTGCGGCTGTAAAAAAAAAAATATCACCGCCAGCTTCCCCCTGTCGCGCACTGTTTCTGGCTCCAGCCGCTCAGCCGCTCGGCTTGTGCAGGTCGGCCTCAGAGTCTGGCGCCGCCCTGGCGACTCACTTCGGTTCATCCGCACGTTCAACGCGCACGGCGGCCTGTTCACTTTTGTTCGGACTGCGGCGCCTAAGTGCGTTTGCTTTGAGAATTTAGTTCATTTTGTTCTGTGCGCGTGCAACTGCGAGTCTGTCTGCCGAGTCCGGCTGGCGGCAATTTTCTTGCAATTGGCCCCGTACCGTGACCCGGACGCCGCTTCCGCTCCCTGTCCGTTGCCTCGGAGCCGCCGACCAAAAAAAATATCACCGCCAGCCTTTAGCAGTCGGTTCGCGTGGCTTCGGCCACCCTGGTACCCTCGCGGTTCCATTGGTGCCTATGCCCCTGCACTCAATTCACTCACAGCTCGCAGACCCTGGCCTTCGACCGCCCTGGCAGCCAGCGCATCTTTGCAGCGCGTTGCATGCGTGCACCCTGGCAGTGCAGCTCCCCAGCAGTTGCCGTCAGCCTCCTTCCACTCGCCGGCCTGGCCGCCGAGGTGCCGCGTGAGGCTTCGGCCCACCGCTTTAGGTTAATTCGTCTTTGCGCGGTCCGCTCTGACTGGACACGCCGCTGGCGATCTCGTCGCGGCCGCTGATTAAAATAATCACCGCCAGCCCATGCAACAACTATATTTAGGCGAGTTGTTTTGATCAGGGACGTGTAGCAATACGCAGTGGAAGAGATCGGGGAGGGCTGTGTGTATAGATGTATATATAGCTCAGAGGGAGGAGGGTGAATCTGATGATGATGACGATGGCGATGGCGATGACGATAAGGATGGTGGTGATAATGATGATAACGATGGCGATGACGATGACGATGGCGATGCTGCTGATGATGATGCTGATGGTGGCCGTGACGATGCCGTATCCATTTTGTTGGTGATGGTGATGGTGATGATGATGCTGATAATGATACTGAGACTGGTAATGATGATGCTGATGACGATGATGTTGCTGTTATTAATCTTGATGATGATAATGCTGATGATGTTGATGCTGATGGTCATGATGATGATGATCTTGCCGATGATGATGAGGAGGGGGATCAGGAGGAGGAGGGAGAGGATGATGATAAGATGGTAATGATGATGATGATGATGATGATGATGATGATGATGATGATGCTGATGATGATGATGAGGATGATGATGATGATGAGGAGGAGGAGGAGGAGGAGGAGGTGGACGAGGAGGAGGAGGAGCCGAGGAAGAGAAGGACGAGTAGGAGGATGAGGACGAGGACGATAACGATGAGGACAAGGACGGGGAGGAGGAGGAGGAGGAGGAGGAGGAGGAGGAGGAGGAGGAGGAGGAGAAGAAGGAAGACGAGGAGTACGAGGACGAGGATACGGACGACGCGGACGAGGACCCTTTGAACCATCTTGGAGTATTCGCGGATTCTCTTGGGGTCCTCTTGGGGCAATCTCTGTGCTCACGTGGGACTCGTTTGAGGGGTCTTGGGGTCGTCTTGCAGCGCTTCGGGGGGGTCTTCGGGGCCTTCTTGGAGCTCTCGTGGGGGCCTCGTGGGAGCCCTGGAGGGAGTCCTGGGGCTATCGTGGAGGGTGTCGGTGAAGCGATAGGGGTCCTAACGTCTGGCCCCCCTTATCTGGGGCCCTCGAAATCGCCCCTTGTGCCCTCTTTGGGTGCTCTTGGGGCGATCTTGGGCGCTCATGTAGCCGCCGTTGGGGCTTCGTTGGCGCATCTTGGGGCTCGCTTGGGTCATATCAGGGCATCTTCAGGTCTCTACAAAGCATCGGAAGCGAAACGGCGAGACGGCACACATCATGGATGTGCTTCCTAGGTGTTCGAATGAGTCTGGCTTCTTGGAGGGGTCCCGAGGGGGCTCCGCCGAGAGCACTTGGAATCGTCGTGTGACCCTCTTGGGGCATCTTGCAGGCATGCTGGAAGTCATATTGAGCCACCGTCGGCTATGTTGAGCCATCTTGGAGGGCCTTGTTGGAGCCATCTTGGGCGAACGAGGACCCTCTGACACCTCGCGGTACCCCCACCCCCGTCCAGATCCTGGGGGAAGGGGGTAGGGGGAGGGATGCACTTCTCCTCGAAAGGGGGGAAGGGAAGTGGAAGAGAAACACGCCCTAAAGCACGTCCGCCCAGAGGGCTGGTCTGATTCTGGTCAGAACACATCCCTGGAGAGGTCTGGGGAGCAGCTGTATCAGTACTTGGTTGTCCCCCCATCCGATGCCCCCACACAATGCGGTGACGGACCGCGCGGTGAGGTCGTTGGAGATTTTGGGGTCACAGCACAGTTTGTCACTGAACCGTTTTGGGACGCCCAAGGTTGTGGGGGTCTTCGGCCCTTGGTAGTATCTAGTGACCTGGGTTGCAGGTCAGAGGCCTCGTGGGTCCCTGCTGGGATCTCTTGTGTGGCATTCTTGGGGTGTCCTGGGGGCTCTCGGGAGACTCCTCGGGCTTCTTGTGGGCCTCTTGGGGGTCTGCTGGAGGTCTCAGGGGCCATCCTGGGGTGGATGGCTCGAACTGTCAATTCGCGCCTGCGCCCAGCCCGAGTGCATCTGCAGTCGAACATTAATCCCCGCGCGCGCATTCACATGGCCGCCCAGTTCCACGGGGGGGGGTATTGCTTTGTTTGTGTTTGCGAGCATAGTCTGGCAACCGCACGGGCCTCGAGTTCCTCGCGGGTAGGATCGCAGGGATGTGGGCGATGCCCAGTGCGAGGGATGGCCGATCAGCGGGAGTCGAGCAGGGTCGAACATGCAACATGCAGGCTTTGCTAGGACATACATAAGAGGAGGTTGAGTTTCCGCTGGGGCTTGGTCGGCCACGGGACGGGACTCGACGGGGTGGGTTGGACTTGATCCCACCATATTTTTGTCACGGACATGTTTTCATTGATTCTGGTTTGAGAATGTAATGATGTTCCAGGATGGGATCAAGTCCTCGCCCGCCACAGCCGTGATTTATCACTAGGAGTCTAAAGGGAGATGGGGCGTCGGGTGCCTCTTGGGGTCCGTCTTGAGGCCTCTTTGGGGGCCGTTTTGGGGCGTCTTGAAGGCTTCTTATGGGTGCGTTGGGGCTCCACTGGGGGCCCATTTAGGCCTCCTGGGAGCTTTCTGGGGCAGAAGACTACGATTTTCGGTTCGTGCCCGTCTTGGGGCTGTCTTTGAGCCCTTGTGAGTCGGTTGGGGCGCCTCTAGGGCCGTCTTGAAGCCCTCCTGGGTCGTCTTGGAGCCCTCCTGAGGGCCTCTTGGGCCGTCTTGGGGCGTTCTTAGGGGCCTGGGGGGCCATCTTGGAGCGTCGGAAGCTGAGTGGGTCGAGAACCCTAAACACATTGAATCAACCGATAGGAAATTCATTGGTTTGGCTTCTGGGCCCCTTTGAGAAGGCCCTTGTGGCTTTCTTGGGGCGCGTCGAAGGCTGCTTGGGCCGACAGGAGGCCGTCGTAGACGTCTTGGGCCGATTGTTCGGCAATTCGAGGCCCTCTTGGGCCGTCTGGGCGGCCTCTCGGGGCCCTCTGGGCCCGTCTTGGGGCCCTCTTGGGCCCGAACAAGTCACGCGAAAAGATGCCCCGGGCACCAGAAGGCACCTGGCAAGCCCCAAGAGAGTTGGCAATTTTGGGTCGGGGCCCCTTCAAGACTTTCAGGATTGAGGACTGAGACTCCACGGGATCGAACATGGGACCTGAGAACATTCCAACACGCACCTCGAGGGCACGGTGGTGGATAATCATTGGCCACCATGGTCACATCATCATGGCGGCGCTAATCATCATGATATTGACCGCGTGATCGACTGCCATGGCGGTCTCTCGCAATAAAATCATCACTGGTCAAATGCCGAGAGCGTGAGCGCGTCAACCTGCCCCAGCTGCCCCGCGCAAAGCCCATCTGAACATCAAGGAACTTCACCCCCACCGCAGTTTGGCCCCGCGTATGATTCAGAAACCTCCCCCTGAAAAGCTGGCCCAGCGTTTCTTAACCAACTTGCCGGAAAGCTGGCTCAGTTTCTCAAGGGAATTGGTAGCCTTGGATCCTAGAAATGAGTCATGCACGCTCCTGGCTCCAAAAGCTGGCTCGGCGTGTCCTTAAGACACTTCTGAAAAGCTGGCCCAGCTTTCTGAATGGATAATTGTCTTAATCCTATGTCTGACTGTAGTCCTGCACAGCGAGAGGCGCTCACTTGTGGACGCAGGCGCACTAGTGTCGGGGGAGCGTAAGACCCGGGTTTGCCAGGACTCGGGTTCGCCATCGTTTTTTGACGACCGCGCCTCGGATTTTGACGAGGAGGAGTTTCGTGGGATGTCTGCAGCGGGAGGCCTCGTCAAAATGCAGGCTCGGCCTCGTCATTTTTTTGACGACCTCGTCTGGGATTTCCGAGTCCCCTGTACCCAGGTCTTACGTCCCCCTGATAGTGGAGAATCGAGGGGAGGCGAGCCTTTCTCAGAAAAGGGGGCGGGGCTTCTCGGATGCCCTCGTGCCTCCTCCGAGAGGCCCCCCGTGAGCCTCCTCCGACGCCGCAGGCGGCCTCCCCAGAGGGCGCGAGGCCATCCCAGCCCAGTCCTCAGGGACGGAGGGCGGGACGGAGAGAGGGAGGGAGGGAGGGGAGGAGGATGAGGAGGAGGCGGAGGAGGAGGAGGAGAAGGAGAAGGAGGAGGAAAAGGAGGAGGAGGAGGAGGAGGAGGAGGAGCTGGAGGAGGAGGAGGAGGAGGAGGAGGAGGAGGAGGAGGAGGAGAGGAGGAGGAGGAGGAGGAGGATGGAGGAGGGAATGCGAGGAGGAGGAGGGAGGAGGAGGAGGAGGAGGAGGAGGAGGAGGAGGAGGAGGGAGTGAGGAGGAGGAGGAGGAGGAGGAGGAGCGAGGGCTTCTGAGAAGCCCCCGCCGCCTTCTGCACAACAGGCCCGCCCTCTCGCGGCTCCCCTTTGCCCCTCCCTCTCCCCCATCCTTCTCCCCTGGGGGCGGGGGAGGAGGAGGAGAAAGCGGAGGGGGGAGGGGGGAGGAGGAGGAGGAGGAGGAGGAGAAAGCGGAGGGGGGAGGGATGATGATGATGATGAGGAGGAGGAGGAGGAGGAGGAGGAAGAGGAGGAGGAGGAGGAGGAGGTGGAGGAGGAGGTGGAGGAGGAGGGGTGGGTGACAAAGGGCGGGAGGTGGGGAGGAAGGGAAGAAGGGAGGAGGGGAGGAAGCAAGGACCCCCCCTAAGTGCGCCACGCCAAGTAGGAGCTGGACGGATCCCCCCTTGAAGGGCCGCGGTTCCGCAGCCGGGCTCGCCTGCAGGAGCGCTCCTTGCGCGCACGCGGGGCGGCATTGGCGGCCGCTCGTCCGCTGCCCCCGCTCCTTCGGCAACCGCTCCCCCCTCGTTCTGGGCCCGTTTCGATTCCTCCGACTCGATTCGGTCCGACTTCGATGGATTGCGATTCCGATTCGATTCGACGCGGGATGCCGATCTGGGCCCCGATGTCTGGGCTTTTTCCTGCGCGTTTCTTCGGCAACCGCTCCCCCCGCCGTGGAGGTGTCCAGGCACATTTTCTCGCTGGTGCACGTCAAGAGCACCTCCAAGTCCAACCGGCAGCCCTTCGCGGACACCTCGCTGGACTCGGCGCAGCTGGCGTCCCTTCAAAGGATCATGCCCAAGAGCTTCTGCCGCGCCCCAAGACTGCCCCTCTTCGCCCGACCTTGTCCGTGTTCGCGACTCTCTGGCTTGTCAAGGGAAGGGCTGCTGGAGGAAAGTGGGCAGGGGACTGGCAGGACCGCCAGGTCTAACGATCACGCCGATAAGCGTAAGTGTCAATGCAATTTCTGGGGGCCCACGCTACCTGAAGGAGTGTCGGTTGGATGTCGATCATGCCCCTCAGTGCCCTCCGCGGGCGCCAGTACCTTGCAGGCTCCCTGCGTCGCTAAGGTGGCGCAGCTGACTCCCGACGCCTCCACGATGACACGCTCGACAGGCTACAACCCGAAGGTCCTTCCTACGGCAATCCAGCCATGCTCATCGCCCACCCGCGGAAAGCCTGGGCTCCTTGGGGGCCTCTACTGGAGGAACGCCCCCCCCCCCCCCCCCGGGATGCCCCATCCCCTCCGACGCCGCTCACTTTCTTTTGCGTTGTCTCCCTCTTCGTGCGTGCCTGGCTGTGCTTGAACAGCTCGTGTCCAGTGCCGGTCGCCGTTCGGCCGCATCAAGCATCTCTTTCTCCCTCTTTCCCTCCCTCGCGCTCTCTCCCTCTCGCACCTATCCTCTCGTTTCGCACGCGGCACGCTCGCTCATCCTTCAGGCCACGGCTCGGTGCACGTGCTTGCCTGTCGCAGGTCGGCGCTCGCGTGGTGCCCCCGGTCTGCCTGGCGACCTTCCGATTCGCACAGCGGTCGAGAGGCCGAGTCGGGTGACGCCTTGTGGCCGCGCTCAAAAATGCTCGCGGCGTGGGCCCCAGGAGCTCTCGAACCCTCCCCCCGTGGCTGGATAGGAGGAGGAGGAGGAGGCGGAGGAGGAGGCGGAGGAGGAGGAGGAGGAGGGAATGCGAGGAGGAGGAGGAGGAGGAGGAGGAGGAGGAGGTACAGGAGGAGGAGGGGGAGGTGGACGAGAGAGCGGGCCGCCTCGGCTCCTCTCCCGTGGCCGCCGCGAGATCCGCGGGGCGCTCCTCTCTCGGGGCACTGCCCGGCCGACGGCTGCAGCAGGGGCGTGTCGCCCAGGACGGGCGGCGCCTCGGGCACCGCGGGCGGTGCGTGGACGGAGGCGGCCATGCATTCGATGGGCCCCTTCCCATGATGGGCTTGATTTCCACCACCACCACCACCACAGGTTGCAGGGAGGAAGCAGGAGGAGGAGGAGGAGGAGGAGGAGGAGGAGGAGGAGGAGGAGGAGGACTAGGAGGAGGACTAGGAGGAGGAGCAGGAGGAGGAGGAGGAGGAGGAGGAGGGCTCCCTCCCCCTCCAAGTTATGGTGGTGGTGGCGGAAACCAGGCCCAGCATCCCACGGTCAGGCGCCGCACGAGCAGCTCACACCACTCCCGGCAGGGGCAGCTAGCCCAGGGGGGGCACTGCGGCAGGATCGCGTCGCGTCGGCGAGGCGGCGACCCCGCCGCAGGCGTGCGGGGTTGAACACCTCCATCGGGTATAGCCAGGACCCCAGGTAAGGGGACCTGGTGAGTGGTAGGTCCCCAGAGCTTTTGAATTTGCCAGAATCACTCATAAAGGTCTGCCGTAGCTGTTTTTTTTGTCGGGTGACGGCAGTTCCAGTTAGTGGAACGGGGCCTGGGGGGGCGCCCCAAAGTACGCATCACTAATGTGAAAGTCAGATTAGCAAGGATGTGAGTTATAGGATGAGGTTTAGAATTATCTATGTTGTTGCTCTCACTCGCTCATGCTTGCGCTCTCTTGTTTATTATTGCCATTTGTGGCTTGAACCCGCCCAGTTGAGGCGGGAGGGTGGACGCACCTATCGAACGCAGAGTTTGATCCGGTATAAGATATCATATCATCTGCCTGTCTTCTACTTGCATCAAGAGGTTGTGGGTGGAGAGATTTGGATCATGATTTACACTGGTAGCAGAGCTGAATCAGTCCACGGTACGAGGATTACATACAGAGTGGCCTTGCAGACAGATATGCTGGCGCTCTATTACATCCTCGCGGTGCTTAACCACTGCGCTCATCAACAGATCACGGTGATCGACAAAACGTTCGAAATCATTACCTACAACAGCTTGGACGGCTATCGAGATATCAACAACATCCCGGGCGAGCAGCATAACTACAGCAACGATCGGGACAGCTACTACATCGGTAACAAAATCAATAACAACACAGTCATCCAGATGACGTCCAGGCAGCAGCAGCAGTTCAATGATGGCCCCCTCTTCGTGGACAAAGAGGGCGTGGTACACTACAACGGCGACCCATCCCACGGAGAGGAGTTCGAGGAGCGTGCGATACTCGGCTACCACGCGAGCGAGGAGAATATCAAGAAGATCTATGCGATCAAGCTCAAGAATTCTCTGAATGGACGAGCGTGGACACTCACACGAAATAAGGTTGAGATCAGTACGCAAGCAGTTTTGGACGAAGCAGGTAATGACCCACCTGCTGCAGTCAAACTGGTGGTAACTACAGTACGACAAGCGTGCGAAAGGATCGCCGCACTACAGAAGCAGCAAGCGTTCGAGGAGTATTTCTTCCGAGGTTTTCGCAATCGAACGGGGTCTGTGCAGGACTACATATCGAGACGAGAGACGGAGTACGAGCGGCTCAAGTCACTTTCAACGAACACGACAGTCAGCGAGGACTTGCGGACATACTTTCTACTGAAACTAGCGAACATCAGCATGCAAGAACACAAGGCAATCCCTGGCCAATGCAGCAACGAATGCATCTGGGACGACGTGACGGCGGCCATGCTGATACAGCTGGACAGCACAGGCCGAGACGATCGTGGACATGGACGATACGGAGCCTACCGGGTGGACTACGACGACGAAGAGGAAGAAGCTCTACTCGGAGATGAACGTCCACCGTGCGATGAAGACGTTTTCCCGAGTGATGAGGATTACGACGCACTTGCAGCGGACATTGACGAGTTCGAGGGAGTGATTGATGACGTAGACCCGGGCGAGATCAGCCAGGAGGAGTGCGACACCCTGGCGACGGAGGCTCAACGTCTTGGCTGGCAAGCTGGACGGCGCAACCACAAGCCCAACTACAAGCAGGCCCGGGAGCGGCTTGCTCAGAGCAAGTCGAATAGAGGCTGGAAGGCCAACATCAACAAGGAGGGCTCCATCAAGATGGACAGCAAAGAGGCTGAGGATAAGCTGAAGCAGATCAAGGCGCGCACGATGTGCAACGCGTGCCACAAGAAGGGCCACTGGAAGGGTGATCCCGAGTGCGATAAGACAAGGTCACCAGCGAGTGGATCCAGTACGATACATCGTGGAGGACGAGGAGGCGGACGTGGAGGACGAGGCTTTCACGGACGACCTGGAGGTTTTCTACGACGAGCTGGATTCGCAATGGCGACCGCGGTCAAGCTGCTGATGGCGGACAGCTCGATGGACATGACCGCCATGCAGATTGTCAGCGACCAGCTGGCAAGCATAGACGTGGCGATGGAGGAGATCACGAGTCCGACGAAGGTAAGAATCGACACCGAGGAGCAGATCGTGAACACCTACGCGGTATCAGCAGCAGGGGACCAGCCGAACTTCCAAGGGAGGATCGACCAGGCACACGAACCATACCCAGTACCTGGAGGGCATCAAACACAGGAATCTGACGACCCCCCGAGCGCTCCAGCGAGCTCAACGAGCAGACCTACACCAGGGACGTGGCCGAGGACGGATCCCAGCAGACCAAATACAGACTACCTAGAAGATGACAACACAGAGACCGACCTACAAAATATACGAGAACGTGCAGAGCAGATCGCAGCATTGTGGATAAGCTGTGAGAACATGGAAGCGGCCTACAGGGACTATATGGGTTTCTGTTTGGACTGGGCCTTACATCGCTTCCAGCAGCTCATGCACATCACCATGGAGATGGCACCGAACGGTCTCAGGAATATGGCCTACGATCTATGCCAAGCAGCCTGGGACATGACCTCGGAGCTTCGTGACATCGTAAGGAGTACTTGCGAGCGCCTACCGATTGGAGTACGACCGACATGGTTGTGGACGCAACGTCGAGCTGGAACCAACTACGCTCCAGAGGGAATTGGGCGGCAGCAACCTTGCGAGGAGCTGGGGGAAGTTGAAGCCTACGCAGTGCGAAAAAGGACCTATTCCAGATGGACATGCTGTAGTGGACACTGCGTGCCTACGTGGATGTGGAGGTTCAATATCATTGGAGGGCTACACAGAGGACGGCAGAGTCATCACGCGGATGAGAGGATCATCCATGCGCTCCCGAGGCGCGAATGATAGCGCCCCGGTCACGGCAGAAGGGGAACAAGAGGTGACGGCGGGACTTGCTGGAGCTGACGTGAACCCACGCTTCCAGAGGTTGCCGAAGTCAAAGGCGCCAATACTGCTGAGCATCTACCAGCTGGAGGAGCTCGACACAGTGATATACATCAAGGATCAGAAGGCGGACTTCAAGGCGATCAACAAGTACGGAGTGCCTCTCAACAAAACGGAGAAGGGACACCTGACGTTCTCGCTCAAGGAGTGGCCGAAGAAAGAGACGACAAATATCGAGCCATCAGTAATGTCCGACGAGATCGACATCTGGAGTGCGGAGGTCCAGGAGATCGATTAGGGCATCCTACGGCGGAAGCAGAGGAAGCAGATCGAGACGTGGGAGAAGGAGATTCAGGACAAGCTGGACAAGTGCCAGCAGATCATGGACACGCTGAAGGCAGACCCAGGAGGAAGCGGCCCATCATCTGCAAACTCTACGCAGGTGGCACGGCAGCCACATCAGAAGCTCAGCAGCGGCGGCATCCAGTGACGAGGCCGAGGGACATCCTGATCGGGGACGACCTGCTGGGCGCGAAGTCGCAGGAGACCGTCCTGAAGCAGCTGAACGAGGATGACCCCTACGTGACCATTGTGGGTTTCCCATGCGACCCGTTCACGAACATATCCCATATGCTCCCGAAGGACACGAAGATGCGCAAGTAGGCGATCGGCATAAAACACCTGCAGCTTGTCAA